TCATAACCATTATTTGTAGTCCCACCTTTTGATTTCTTCCCAAATGTAGGGTGACCTGCCCACTGACCCACATTAGGATGTCTTCTAAGTATCCTATAGTTAATATGAAACTGCTTAACTTCAAAGATAAGATGGCATAAATAAGTGTCAAAGATAAGATGGCATAAATAAGTGCAACATCAATTCTTTACAGCCAATGCCACTTGCTCTTTGTGACCTAAAACCAACCCACCCACCTTCTCATTCACACATTGCAGAGATATAACATAAGGAATCATCACATGGGTCATAGCTCATGTTTGGTCACTAGTGAGGATAGACATTTCTGTGAAAAACTAATGTATGAACACGATTTGTATTAGCAAAAAAAAAACAATGACAATCGAAATGTTTTATATTGAGTTCACTTCGTGTCAAAATCGGATCAATCTGAGTACAACATATTTAGATTAGGGTTAATATCAAATTACACCCATAAAAATGTTTGAATCTTAATTTGTACCCTCAAAGATAGAATGTCGTATCAATGCGCACCTCAAGTTAATTGCCGTCAGTTTACTGTCTAAAATTAAATGAATAAATTACACTTAGACTCTTAATGCTTGTCACTTAATCACCTAGACTCATTACATTTAAAATATTACATCTACATTTCTTGAGAATCCAAATATGACTAAACATGTTCCCCTAATTTGGCATTCAAATAATTCTGTTTACGTGATACATTGCATTAGATATAAAGAACATTATATAAATATCTGCATTGTATTGAACATTCAAATGATAAATTTGATTTTTAAACTTTAGAGTATAACGAACCCACAAAATAAAAGGTAGTATAAAATTATAATTTTTCATAAGGATGAAATCATATTTTTTAACTATTATATTAACAAATATTATCGATAAGGGATTATGTGTTACACGTGCACAAACGTCAGAAAATGTAAGAGTAATATTCTAAATGTAAGGTGTCCAAATGATTAAGTGATAAGTATAAGAGAATCTTGGTGTAATTTATTCATTTAATTTTAAACGGTAAACTATGACTATTAGTTTCAAGTGCGCATTGATACAAATTTTTATCTTTAAGAGTACAAATTGAGATTTTTAATCTTGAAAGTGTAAATTAAAATTCAAACAATTTTTCAGGATTCAATTTGAGATTAAACATTTAGATAATTATGTCAAAACCTATAATAATCCTATCATAACCTTTTATTGCATAGATATAACATGACAAGACCCACGTAACCTCATATAGTAAGTAATTAGGTATTGTTAGGCTAAAGTTTCATAGTTTGTATGGATCATATAAGTATCATAATGGATTAGGTACATGGCTTTGGTTTGATTCATCTCCAATTTTCAAGCAATGGGAGTATGCCAGAATGCTTTTTAAATAGTGAGGAGTTAGTCATATCAGTAAATTCTACCTTTTTAAAATAATACATTGAGTTTTTTAAAAGAAAAAATAAGATGAATTTTTAGTGTTAGCACATATTCACCGTTCAAACGAAATTGAAAAATCCAATCATTCAAAACTTTTTTTTTTAATAATCAGGAATCATTTTAATCACGCGTGCTTTAAATTCTCGACTACCATATAAATTTGAAATGTGCATAATTAATCACAAAACTGCGTGACGTGAGTTAGGTTAACTTTATACAATACCCTTTTGAAAAGAGCAATGTTATAGAAATACGACCGTGTTGCAATTTGAAAAATCTACGGCAATAATTATGGGTCAAAGCTTGATAAAAATGAGATACATTCATTAAATTGTAGATATGAAATTATTCAAAAGAGATTTGAGATCCATTCATTTAATGAAAATATGAGAATAACTTAGAGAATCTTTAAGACATGAAATTTTTTTTAAAAAAAATAAGTAGAGTATATACCGATCTAAATAAAGTTAATCATCCAAGACATATTTCGGCGCACTCGGTTTTGCTGGATTTTCATGTCTTGGATGACTCATCTGTTCGAGTGATTAATACTAAATAACTTAAATAAAATTCAAAAATTTATAAATCAGATGTATATCTTCTATTGAATGAGTATATTTCATTAATTTTTTCAATAGAACTCATTCATCTAACACTGATATGGATTTGGTTTGTATTTTTTGAGTTTCATTTGAATATTTTTCTTAATTTTCACATATGTTTCCTTTTTTCTTCATTATTTAATGCGAAATGGACGAGAATTTTTTTTTGAACAGTGAAATGGACGAGAAATTGAATTCCAAGGGAAAAGGAGAGGATACAGAGAGATAAAAAGCACCAATGACTCTGAACTTTTTGAGTTTGTGAAGGAATCTCCAATTTTCTTTCTGCTGATTCAAAAAACTCTAGAGTGAGAGTGAAAGGTAGAGAGAGGGAGACAAGGAAAAATATCCTTTTGTGTTCACACTTGTTTCCTCTGTCTGTCTCCTATGTTTGTTCTCTGCTGCGTTTGAAGGAATTACAGAGTATACCACACAGACACAGAGAGAGAGAGAGAGAGAGAGAGAGAGATGGGCATTTTATGTGAAGATGCGATACTGATTAAAGNGAAGATGCGATACTGGTTAAAGAAGCTGAGACACCAGGTGATCACACTGTGGTAACAGTGAATTGTCCAGATANTGGGCATTTTATGTGAAGATGCGATACTGATTAAAGAAGCTGAGACACCAGGTGATCACACTGTGGTAACAGTGAATTGTCCAGATAAGACTGGACTTGGTTGTGACTTGTGTAGGATCATCTTGCTCTTTGGGCTGAGCATTGCCAGAGGAGGTATGAATAATTGTCCTTCTCTATATTATTTTGTTTTTTTTACCTTTGATTTTGTAGAATTTGTCTACACAGGATTTGAGATTTGTGGTGAAACAGATGATGGGTTGCTGTGATTTTTGGGTATTTTGACAATTTTTTGTGAATTCTTTCTTAGGATACGTCATTTTTAAGGAAGAAGTGGTGGGCCGGTTTTTTTCTGGCCAATTGTTGAAATTGTATGAAGTTAATTGTTGGGATAGAGATTTTTAGCTAGATAAATTGTGTTATTGTCAAGTTTCAATCTTTTTTTTTACTTTTATCTGATTCTCTTTTCTATGGGTTAGTTATTTTTTTCCTTGATGAAAGATGGGTACCCNCAGATAAATTGTGTTATTGTCAAGTTTCAATCTTTTTTTTTACTTTTCTCTGATTCTCTTTTCTATGGGTTAGTTATTTTTTTCCTTGATGAAAGATGGGTACCCTAATTATTTTGTACTTCTGAATCTTTTTTGGGGGGTCTTTCTAATTCTTCATTGTTAATCCAGATTCTCTTCAGTTAATCTTCTTTTGATTTATGATTCTTGGAGAGAGAAAATACAGGAATTGGGGTTCTTATAGTTGTATTTTCCTTTGTTATTTTTGTACTAGATAAGTTGTGTTATTGTCAAGTTTCTATCTTTCTTCACTTTTCTTTGATTCTATTTTCCGTGGCTAAGGATTCTCACTATATGAAAGATGGGTACCCTGATTATTTTGTACTTCTGAATCTTTTTGTGGGTCTTTCTGATTCTTCATTTTTAATCCAGATTCTCTTCAGCTAATTTCCCTTTTGAGTTAAGATTCTTGGAGAGAGAAAAAACAGGAATTAGGGTTCTTATGCTTGTATTTTCCTTTGTTCCTTTTGTGCTAGATGTTTCAACGGATGGTAAATGGTGCTACATAATTTTCTGGGTAATTGCAAAGCCAACAACAAGGTGGAATCTACTAAAGAAGAGACTGCTTGAGGTGTGCCCTACATGTACTCCGGCCGCATCGGGGATTTACTATTACAGGCCAGAATTTCAACAGCCAAAGCCACCAGATGTGTTCCTGTTGAAGTTTTGGTGTGACTATGACCAGAAAGGCCTGCTTCATGGTACTCTTTTGATTCCATAATTTAGTTTTATGGGGTAAATGAAATGGAAGCAAAAACTTAGGGGTAAATACCTAATTGTGATTGTTTTTTTTCGATTTTTAATTCTTGTTCCTGAGTCATTGGGAATCTTCTGCTTACTTTGACTAGAAGATTATTTATATCAAATGCATTTAAAATGGAATCTTTTATGTTTTAGAGAAAGGAATATGCTTTTATCCTTTACCATGCAAAAAATCCCAATTCTCTGCACCTTCGTCACAAGGGCATTTCAAAATTAGAGGCATAATTATGGTCCTTTTGATGGACATAGATGTCATAGAAGAGGAAGTCCTGGATTCCTGAATGATAAATTTGCTTGAATAGTAATATAAAGACATAAGTTTTTAAAGTAATCCATGGGAAATATATTTGTTTATGTTTTCAGCCTATTTGTTTGTTTGATATGGTCTTCTTTTCTGTAGACGTTACCGAGGTTCTTTGTGAGCTAGAGCTTACGATAAAGAGAGTGAAGGTATCCACAGCACCAGATGGGAGAGTAATGGATCTATTCTTTGTCACAGACACCAGGTTTATTTCTGCTTATCTTTTTCTTTTTGTCTTTTACATTGTCTTTTTGATTCGTATGGTAGCCTCTGGAGGAATAGAAAGAGTGTCTAGACTCTTGCAGCCATATTCTAGGGTTGCATTTTAATTGTGTCTTGTTGGTCGTTGCACGTTCTGAAGCCACATTTAAGAAGATTCACTCTGACAAGTACGATTTTCATGTGGGTGTTCTTCTCCTTGGAAATTGGTTCACACACCATATACAATTCACTGAATAACTTTAAAAAATTGCCTTCAGCATGAGGTGTTAAGGCCTTGTGTTGGTTATTATTATTGCAAATGAATATAGGAATCAGCATAAATCATGATTTATTGCTTTTCCACACTTAAGGCAGCAAGCTGAGCCGTTCTCAAAAAGAAACTTGCTGTTTAAGAATCATTTTTACTTTCAGCCAGANAAGCTAAGCCGTTCTCAAAAAGAAACTTGCTGTTTGAGAATCATTTTTACTTTCAGCCAGATTTCTGCTCATTCCCACTGTTGCATCCATTGANGAGCTGAGCCGTTCTCAAAAAGAAACTTGCTGTTTAAGAATCATTTTTACTTTCAGCCAGATTTCTGCTCATTCCCACTGTTGCATCCATTGAAGGAACCAAGCAGCCTAGGTGCCATGGTCCTTCTCACATTTTGTAAAATTCCTATAATGCCCCATAAGTTTTGGAAAATCCCATGTATGTCCTCAAGTTCCAAAAAGCATTATATATAGGCAATTCACTTTGTGAATTGATTTGTTATTTAATAGCCATATGAGGGTGTAATTACATAAACGAGTGATGTTCTTATACTCGAACATATTTGATTAGACGAGTCTGATGACCAAACTTTACTATCGTGTATAAAAGTTAATTTTGGCTAGGTTTTGTATAGCTAAAAGCTTATCCAGTTGACCGAAATTCTTAACTATGCTCTTGTTTGGTCCCCTCAAGACAGACTCCTGGATCTGTCCCTGCATCAATCAGCCTTCTCAAAAAGAGCATATTTGAATTGGGTCGTATTTTTTAACTAAGGGTCCCCTTAAAAGGTCAAAATAAAATGAGAGTGACTCGTTATTCGAATGATTAGGATGACACATTGGTGGACTCTATTAAAGGTGAATTCTGTGTAGATACAACATGTAGTAAATCTAGATCCATATCATGGAAAATTTGTTTCTAGTGAATTTTGTTGCAAGTCTTTTGACAAAATTTCTATAAAGATTGTGATATTAGATGATTTTCCTTGGAAACAAAAATATTTGCTATGGAATTTGGGCCCATTATTATGGGTTTCCTAATGCAATTTGATCATGCTAACCTCATTTCTGTTACATGTGTTGCTGCATTTGTTCAATCCGTGGCATTTATGCTACACATTTTCTCATACTATTTGAGAAAAATGGAAAAAGAAAAAGGACAAAAGAAATAGAAAGGAGAAAAAATGCAACTCATTCTTTTCTCGCAGAGGAGTGGTAGGTAGTGAAAAGTGTTTTATAATTAAGCCTAAGCTTTAAGAGTTGTTTTAAGGATTAGCAAGGTGTTTGAGTAGATAATGCTTTTGTCAATGTTTTGAGAACTACGCCTAAGCTCAAGGCGATTCTAGGTGCACCCCCTACGCCTCAAATGGCCTCAGACGAGGTGATTTCGCTAAAGTGTGCGCCTCGAGGATTGAGCTCAAGGTGCCCTATATGCTTTAAATATTAAAAACATCAGATATTATAGTTGTTGGGTGAAATTNCCTACGCCTCAAATGGCCTCAGACGAGGTGATTTCGCTAAAGTGTGCGCCTCGAGGATTGAGCTCAAGGTGCCACGATATTTTGCTTTTTTCTCCCTTATGTCTTTAATCTTGATAAGTTGGGATTAGGTATTAATAACTTAACCCTAATTTTGGATGGGTATAGACCCAATAAGGATGAACAACATGATTTGCTTGGTGATGATGAGGATTTCTAGGCCTTTAGGATATGTGGAACCGTGGACTGATGTTCAATTACTTTGATAGTTTGCCCTATATGCTTTAAATATTAAAAACATCAGATATTATAGTTGTTGGGTGAAATTTTGATGGTAATGCATTAGTTGACATTTGGATGTTGTATAATTTTTGGATGCTTGATTGTGTTGTAAATGTTAAACAACTATCTACTCCAAAAGTTTAAGCTGTTGGAGAGAGTATAACTTAGGTATTTATATTTCAACACTCCCCCTCACGTCCTAGCTAAGTTTTGGGCATAGCATGTGGAAACTCTTTTAATCATTTGGGTGGGGGTGAGATTCGAACAGGACCTTCTACTCTGATATCATGTTAAACAACCATCTACTCAAAAAGTTTAAGCTCTTGGAGAGAGTGTAATTTAAGTATTTATACTTCAACAGTAATTTTTGTGCCTTGTTTGAAAAATATGTCAATTTTAATATATTCTTGTTATTTACAATGTTTGGCTCACTTTGAGGAAGCCTTTGCCTTGTTCCTCACCTCTCGCCTAGGATCTAAAAGGATCCCTAGCTCCTCAATTCACCTTGCACCTTAAACAACACTGTTTTTGTTGAAGCTACACAATTACATATTTTAGACCTATAATTTTACCAATACTAACTAGCAGGCTTGGGACCTTTAAATGTCCTGGTTTGCAATATGTTCCAAAAGCAATCTAGATGTCATTGTGACATCAATTTCAGTTCCATCTTACAAATGAATCTTCACAAAATTCCACGGAATACTGGTGTTTCTATGGCTCCATAGATGTATTTTTATTACTTTGTTGCATCACTTAGGGTGTTTGAAATGCATCAGCATGGAAGTGGTACCTAGTTCTCTGGTATTGTCTGACGTTATTCCTATAGTACACTTAGTTTCAAGTATATTGGGGCTTTTGGGCACTGTCTTCACCTTGTAACCCTTTGCTGCTGAGCCTCCAGAAATAACAAGAGTAACCATGGGGATGATAGTCACGAATCATTATGTGTAAGCATAGCAATTTGCCTTCTTGATTAAATGAACTAAATTTTGTAATAAAAGAAGGTTGAAAGAATTAGATAGCGGATTCAGATAAAACTGAAAATTTTTGTTTCACACTCTTCCTTTAGGTTCGATATTTTGTTTTCTAGGTAACTTCTCCGAACTGGTTTAAGTCTTTTATATCATTGCGTTGGACTTGTGAAATCTTCTGTACGTACTGGAATCTTGTCAGACTGTATTTTGGCCAAATTTGAAGTCATGCAAGACATTATTACTGTTTTCCTAAAGCAAATGATACTGATGGAGCAATATGGATCTATTTCATTTATATTTTACTCTCTGGAAGATAACTCATTTGTGCCTCTATTTTGATGAATTAGAGAACTTCTCCACACTAAAAAGAGACAGGAGGAAGCAATTTTTCGTTTGCAAGCTGTATTAGGGAATACCATGCTAAGTTGTGAGATTGAAATGGCTGGTCCTGAAATTTCTGCATGTTCACAAGGGTTCTCGTTCCTTCCTCCTTCTATGACAGAAGACATGTTCAGTTTGGAGCTGTCTGCAAAATACCCAAGTGGGTTTCTTGCCTTGAATTCGATATCTGTTAAGGTGGACAACTCCCTCAGCCCCTCTCACACACTGGTCCAAATCCTCTGTCAAGATCACAAGGGTCTCATTTATGATATCATGAGAACTCTAAAAGATTACAACATCCAGGTAAATAATTTAAAATAGAACCATTCTTTTACTTGTAATTTCCATAGAAGTTGGTATTAGAATCACGCCCTTTTTCCTTATGGTGCATTATCATCAAAGCCTTATGTGGGAAACTTTGAAGAAAAGCAAGGATTGTAAAGCCTTTACCAATCAATACTGTCTTCTGCTATTTTGATGAGTTACCTCATGTTTGAACCCAAATGTTGCTTGATTATTTGGAAACTGCTAAACGCTTTAGTGCCAACCTAAAGCTTTTAAAAATCTGTAAAACAAGATGGTGTACTGGTGGGGAATAATTGGTGAGAGGTTGTGCAGAAGACAAATTTAGCATGGAATGGTTTTGGGATTTGTTGACTCTGAGATATTAATAAATCCACGCCTCTCTTTACATGTGATTTCCCATCATGTTTCAAGATTTTCTAACATCTAAAACTTAATTCTCTGCCAGATTTCTTATGGTCGATTCTTTGCAAACCCAAAAGGAAACTGCGAGATGGACTTGCTCATAATGCAAGCAGATGGGAAGAAGATAGTTGACCCTGATAAGCAAAGTGCACTGTGCTCACGTCTGAGAGTGGAACTTGTCCGCCCTTTAAGGGTCGATGTGGTGAGCCGAGGTCCTGATACTGAGCTTCTTGTAGCTAATCCTGTTGAGTTATCAGGCAGGGGCCGACCTCTTGTCTTTTATGATATTACCCTTGCTCTCAAGAGTCTTAACACACACATCTTTTCGGTACTACATCTAATTCAGTGTTGACTCTCTTCCTGAATACATGAATTTATGTTAGCAAGATTAAAAGATGGTGCTGTTCTTTTTTTCCATCATTTCTTCAGGTTGAGATAGCGAGACACAGGCTTCATGATCGGGAGTGGGAAGTGTACAGGATCCTACTGGATGAAAGTGATGGCTTTTCTTTGCCAAGGAACGAGATCAAGGAATGTGTTACAAAGAAATTGATGGGTTGGGAATGATATCGATGACAGCAGTTACGATTCCAAGTATCGGCCGATATTTATACGACTCAGTCAAGTCGTATCCAACCCTGCACGTTCCAATCCAATACAGTTCCACGGATTTTGTATACTATGAGTTTCATGACCGATGTGTCTTCGGTGATTTCCTAGTCAACGGCTGATATAACAATCTTGAATCATGTCAACATACAGTCAGGAGTTTCATACACACTGTACATCACACATCTCTTTATCTTTTCCCCCTCCAGGCCTACGAATCGCTACTGCTGCAACTTGTATANATATAACAATCTTGAATCATGTCAACATACAGTCGGGAGTTTCATACACACTGTACATCACATATCTCTTTATCTTTTCCCCCTCCAGGCCTACGAATCGCTACTGCTGCAACTTGTATATTATCTAACCCATCTCAAGAAAAGGAAAGATTTAGTTTTTTCCATCCTCCACTTTGCCTTTTATTTAGAATGTGGCAATCATAGCTAGCATCTCCCTGTGTATTTCCAAAATCTTTCCACAGTTCAATATAATCTACCATGTATATACCTTCAATGTACTGCATGAGGTTAATGTAACTAAATTGTTTGATGGATAAGGTGTTGTATCTCCTTGTATATATTGATCATTTGATTGTCTTGGGAGAATACAGATCTGTGCATCAATGCAGGTATCGTTTACTTGTGCTTATATGGCTTGGCTTCTGTTTTGAGTATACTGTGTGACTGGCTTTTTTGTTCCTATAACTGAAAGCTTACAGAAGCTCACAAGGCCATAGATCAGCGAATAAGCTCAGTTTAACTTCTCAGCTACCTGTGGGAAACTAAGGTACTGAGTTTCTTCCTCCAAAAACGAACCAATAGTAGGACCAAACCGGGAGTTCATAGCATACAAAAAGATGGATTTGTGACTGAGAAATACAAGTTTCCTATATTCACAGGATTCAACGATAGACTGACAAATTTTTCAAGTGGGTTGTTTGGTGTAATCATAAGAATTATTTTTCATTAGTTTATCCTTCTACTTTGAGGACTTATGATTTAGGTATCTCAGACTCTAAATTGAAATAGCATGCCAACTTTGTGCCTTGAGCAAATACCATTTTTCCATTAATTTCAATATGGAAGACTCATAGATCTTGAATGTGTACTGAATGCAACTCTTTCTAGGCATGAGCAGAGACTTTGGATAAAAGGGTGAAGCCAGATAGACACCAAAAACAATTTTATTAGCTACCTTAGACTTCAGTCTTTTTTTCAATCCTTAATGTCGGTGGTCAAATGACCAACACTAGCATTTTATGCTGCCTTCATACATGAAATTTGTGTAAACTAACCAAGCTTTTATTAAATTTGGGTTCCCCATCAGCTTGATTAAATGTAGCTTTGCTTATATGACTTATTTGAGCTCTGCCTTTTGTGCAACAAAGATAAAGATCTCTCTATGTCGTTGCTGTCATAGTTTTACTCTTCGTCGGGAATGTTTGATGCTTCTTGGGCTTGCTGAGAGGCTCTGGTTTGCTGCCTCCTCTTTATCTCTCAAAAATGGAATTGTTGACATCTCTTAACTCAGAGTGAATTGAGGGTTGGTTTTAACAGGGATTTATATACAAGGGAAACGGGACTACATTATGTGCTTCACTGTGACTGGCTTTTAGGCTCTGAGGACAGCGAGGAGTGAGTTTTTCTTCAACCAGAGAGAGTATTTTTAGTAACTTGGAGCAAAGAGAGAAATGATTATAGTTGCAGATCAGGTATTCAATTTGTAATGGATTTGAATGTGGTTATGTAAACGAAATCAATCAGATAATTGAATTAGTTAGGGCTCGTCTAGTAACGTTTACGTTTTTTGATTTTTTAAAAAATAAAAAATAAAAAACGTCTTTTTCTCGTTTTTGAAAATTGTCCCTAGTTTACAAAACAATGACAGAAAAAAAAAAACGATTATCAAACGAATTTTTTTTTCTTGTTTTTTCTAAATATCAAAGTAAAAATGAAAAACGAAAAACATAAACGTTACCAAACGGGACCTTAGTGATGATACTTAGAAAAGTAGCGCTTTTGAATCTTTGAGAGGATCTAGTTATGAATGGATAGGCCATCTTGAAACAATGGGAAGACCTCAAAAACGAACACACAAACCATTTTATGGAAAACTTGAAGAAGATCGCTATCTTTCGGTCTGGTTTGACAGAATAGCCGATCCGATCGCCTTGGGAAAAAGCTAAACCCAAGAGAAGGTCGCACGTGGAAGCACACCTAGAAGATGGCGAGCTCCACCAGAGGAGCATGAGATCGACATATGTCCAGACCGGAAGGCATCATGCCATCATGACATATTCTGGAAAGTTATATCACTCTAAGAGAGTGTAACATTTAATGGCATAGGAAAAATAAACCATAAATGGACAAATATTTTTTTAATGAAATCTTAACAAATTAGGAGATCATCGGGATTACATGTATAAATACAAAAGCCCTCATTAGAAAAAGGGTAAGCAAAGAGAATTATTGTAATTGACCCTTATTATCTAAGAAATATACTCCAAGAGCAAGAGTTGCAAAACATTCTCAATATCCGATCTATTGACATAAAATAAAATAAAAAAAATAAAACATTCTCAAATCTTAGTCGAAACACTTCAAAATAATTTTTTTTGATATTTTATCATTACTTCACTTCATTTCAATTTGTATAAAAATCTAACACAAATCCCAAAAGATAACTAATTGAAGTGGTAAGAAATGAGTTGTAAATTTTAATTTTCAGAGTTTAAATCTTTATATTTTTTTATGATTAAATTATAAAAAATTTATCTCTTAAATATTCTAATTTAATGTGAATAATCTGTTTTTAATCAAAACGGATAAAAATTAGTCGAGTGCTTAAAATTTTGATCGAGGAGAAGTATTCTTAAGCGTGTAAGCAAAGCACTCCAAGTCGCCAACGCAACCAACCCACCAGACCAAGTATGTGGTACGAAACACATACCACACCGCACGTGGTTGCACCTCAAGCCGCCAGCTTCAACGATCGTTAAAAAGTTTGGTGTTTATATCGCTATTGTCTCCCGTGGTGCCCACCTCTCCCTCCAATACCAGAGGAGATCCCAACGAATCTTCTCTCTTCTTCCTCACCTTCTTCACGCACCAACTAGATCTCATTGTTTCACTCAACAAACCAATCAAAAATCTGAGACCCATCTGCATATATAAGTCGAGAGGAAGTGTATAGATATAGGAGGAGATAGAATAATATTGTCTCTCTGTTTGAGAGAGAGAGAGAGACAGAATGAGAGCTTTGAATTCTCATTTTGTGTTAATTGATCTCCGCAGCTCATGGAATTCAGCTACTCAAATTCCCACTTCAGCCTTTGATTACATTCAAAGGTCTTACTTTGACACTTTCTCTTTCTCAGCGGCGGCATTTCGTCGAAAGCGTCGTGGGATTAGGCAAATCTCTTCGTCTAGATCTTCTGTCCCATCGATGCGGTCCCCGGAAATTCGTCGGCCGCGTGACTGGTCCACCCCCGGAAATGGGTTATCGTTAGTTTCTTCAAATTCTGCTTCGACTTCGAGTTCTCGGTCGGAGGTAGTTTCTGAGCTGGACTTGTTTCTTGAATTGGTGCCTTCGAAGATGAAGAATGAGCTTTTTAGGCATGAGGAGATTGATCATTTGATTGAGGTTGTTATGGATTTGGGTAGGAAGCCTCTTGCTAGGTTTCCTACGGGGGATTGTGTGATCTCGGAACAAGCTGTGAAGCTTGAGGACCTGCAGCACGCAATCTCAAAGGTTGTTTGATTGAATTTTGCAAATTTATAAGAAATCTTTTGATCGGTATTTCCTCTTTATAAAACACTTATTTAGGACATTTGTGAGAAAACACTTTTTTTAGAATGATTGAGGTCTAATTATTGTGTTCCTCATGAAACCACTTTGTGTACATAATTTTTTGTACTTTGTGTTTGGTTTAGTGTGATGGTCACTGGCTGATAAAGACCTAATAATACAAAAATATTTTGACGGCCATATTAAAAACATATTTATGCATTTGCAAGTTGTGTTATTTTTTTAAGGAGGTGGAGTTGTGAGTATTTTAGTATAATTTTCTTTAGGTGGGTGATTTTTCGGATGACAACCGTTCGGGGATAGATCATTCCCTCCATCGTATAAGTGCTATTCGAAACCGTAAAATGCAAATTATTGGCCTCACTTGTCGGGTAGGCCGAGCTGTATCTGGAAGTGCTGAAATCATACGCGACTTGGTTGAAGGGGGAGGTTCCATCTTGGTTATAGGACCTCCAGGAGTCGGCAAAACAACCTTAATCAGGTATATAGGGTTGTATTTTTCAGCAATACTCAGTAATTAGTATGGCACTGTGCATGTATTCATGGTAATTAGTACTTTATTATGGAAAAAATGAGCAATCACTGCATTTTTTTTATGAAATATGTGTTGGGCTCTATTATTGGAATGTTTTTCAAAACTCTGGAGCACTCGCTGCCTTTGGCATTGTGAAAATGCTTGCCATTCAGCTTGAAGCATGTATAGGCAAAGATGGAGGAAAGAATTAATTTGACATAATTAGTTCATTAAGTTTTGTCCAAGCTTCCCTGATGACTGGTATTTTGCTATTTTTAGCTCTTATCTTCAGTAATGACTTTTAGCATTGAGCACGTAGTTTCCTTCCACATTACACAAATTTGGTTTCTTAGTAGTTTACACATAATTGATTCTTTTAATGAGGCTCTATTTCTGCAGAGAAATAGCTAGAATGCTGGCAGATGAGCTCAACAAACGTGTTGTAATTGTAGATACATCCAATGAGATTGGAGGTGATGGAGATGTCCCTCATTCTGGCATAGGTCGTGCAAGAAGGATGCAAGTTCCAAATGTTAATATGCAGCATAATGTGAGCTTGAACTCGGTCCTTTCCTTTCTAGCTTGAATTCTTCTCAATAAGCTATGACTATATTTTGTTGAAGATTTTCTCTTTTTTGAAATTGAGCAGGTGATGATTGAAGCAGTTGAAAATCATATGCCTGAAACCATAATAATCGATGAAATAGGTACAGAGCTTGAAGCATTGGCAGCCAGTACAATTGCGCAGAGAGGAGTTCAGCTTGTAGGAACGGCTCATGGAATGACAATAGAAAACATAATAAAAAATCCGTCTCTGCAGATCCTTGTTGGTGGCATAGAGGTAAAAAACCAACACTCTTTCCTTAAACCACCCTCCCCCCCCCAAAAAAAAAAAAAAAAAGAAAGAAAAAAAAGTGCCATGTCTTTCATTCTGTATTAGCTCAGATGCACAAATGTTATCTGAATGGTTGTGTCTTCACCAAAAAATAGTTAGGCTGTTTCATATTTTTTGGGGGGGATTTTACAGAGTGCAACTCTATCTGGCCTGGTAGTTTCATAATTCAGACAGAAGCTGTATAACAAGCACAGATGTGTTACTGCCATTCTTATATTTGGCTTAGGGGCTTGTCAACTCGGGGTTTTTTTTTTTTTTTTTTTCAAACTGATATGTGATTTCAAAACACAGAGTGTTACTCTTGGTGACGAGGAAGCAAGGAAAAGGAAAGTGCAGAAGACAATTCTTGAAAGGAAAGGGCCTGCTACATTTACGTGTGCTGTTGAGATGATATCTAGAACTGAGTGTCGTGTCCATCACAGATTGGATGCAACTGTAGATGCTATATTGGCAGGTAATTTGAATGTGGTACTAATCTTCAGAATATTTCTTACTTAGCGTAGCATCTCTGTACATGCTTCAGAATTGAAGTTTATGGCCCAGAGTTGATCTTGATAAGAAAATTTCTGGGACAACAGGAAAATCTCCACTCTTTGAAGTCCGATGCATGGATGCTGAAGCTAATACTAGATTGGGGTCAACTCCAACAACCAAAAAGAACCATGTTGAAGAGCCTGAGCTGCCTAATATTGAAGACAGGAGGGCTAAAGTTGTGTCCGACAAGGAAATTGAAGATCGTTCTCCCAATTTCAAGAAAGTGATCACTGTTAGATCTGTGAGCAAGAGGAGCTCCCCGGTGTTTGTTTATACGTATAAGGTAAATCATTCTTATCTTTTGTTCTAGCTTTTTAATTTCCTCTCTCTACTTTAATATGGTCAGAGGGTATTTAGACTACAAAAAATCTACATTTTAATAAATTGGAAATATCATGTTCACAATTTCAATCTGTTGGGTTATACATTAGGAAGAAGTAGCATATAGTTGAAGAGTTGGTTACAAAGGCTATGTAATAAGTAAGGCTGAACTGATTGAGCCGGTTCCATTTTTGGTTGTGTTCCAGATCCTGGAAGCTGATCTAATGCAAGTAGCAACAGTCATGGGACTTGAGGATGAAATAGATGTAACAGATGACATTGGTGCTGCAGATGCTATTCTAGCATCTAGTTCTGAAATGAAGCAGAACCCTTGGATCCGTGTTGTTGCCAAATTCCACCAGTTGCCTGTATTTGTCATCAAGGTATCCTCTTTTTTAATTTTTTCAAAAAAAAAAAAACAAATTGTTTCTAAAGAAAAAATAGTTATTGGACTATATTTATTTTTTCTTAACAGTTGATAGTGGTTTGAATATACAGTCAAGTACAATGGCACAGATGGTAAAGGCCGTGCGCATGATTCTTGGAATGGATTCCTTTGGATCAATTTCAAAACTGCCCCTCGAAAGCTCTTCTGACATCGAAATTGAAGATGATGAACCAAAAAGAAAACCATCATTGGAGGAGATTGATGCCTTGGAGGTCAAAATCTTTTCCCTTAATGTTTTGTTCTCTGGATTTTGTTATGTTCATTATTGTTCGAAAAGCTGGGTGGTTGTTGGAGAGAATGGAGGTTGAGTAAAACTACATGCGATATTAACACACATAGTAGTAGTAACCTTTAAGGAGAAATGCATCATTCCTGTGTTGCAGAAAAGCATATGTCGTTTGATGATCCTTGACTGGTTTTGTGCAATTAAGTGATCTTCTGTTATAGGGAACAAAAATTTATTCATAAGGAGAAAAGTGCAATTGAAAGCTACAATATCCCAACCAAAATATTTATGAAAAAAAAGAACCACTACATAAAAGCTTAGATTCAAAACACAAACTCAATGGTGATGAAGTGATCTTTTTAGCAAGCAAAAACTTATCAATATTTTCTTTTGATAGAGTTTGATTTTTTTGGAACTGTGTAATTTTATATGGTAGAGACCCTGTATTATTATTTGGCCCCCTTATCATAATTCCTAACTAAAACAGACAGAGAAATAGAATTGTTGTCTTGTTGACTTCACGTGTGCATTCAGGTTAAGGAATAGTTCTGTGTTTTGTGACTGGAGACATGGAAATCGCAGCATCATCAGTTTACAATTAGGTGCCAACTAATGAACGTAGCCATTTGTAAAATTCTGTTGGCATCAATGCAATAGATTTTTTATTTGTCTGTTATGGCATTCTATGATTAACCATAAGCTGTGGATTTGAAGTTGTTAAGTAGTTAACCTAAATACCATGAATAACGTTTAGTTACTCCTGTCCATTTATGGCATTATAATCGGTCTGTTTGTATTGGACATTGTAGTACTTGCCATAGGCCTCTTAGTCTAACCGGTGTGTGTCATGGACTAGTTTCTGCAAGGTGGGAGCTTGTTCAACTGGTGTTCTAACTTTTTTTGAGTCTGGTGAAAGATCATCAAAGACTTCTATCATGCATGGTCTGTTACAATTTCACTGACAGAAATCTTTTGCACTTTTGGATTTAATAGGAGGTTCGACTTGCAATTGAGTATATAGTCATTCCTGGTGGTGAGCCTGTGGAGCTTCTTCCGAGACGCTCTGAGATAATTGCGCGACAACTAGAGCTCGTGGAAAGTTATCAGCTAGCCGCGGAGAATTCAGGCACGGAGCTGAATCCCAGGTTGCAAATTCTTCCCCAGAAGTTGACCAAGAAAACTTCCCGGAAACACACCCAATCTAGTTCAAGTTTACAAATGGATGGAAGCTTTAAATCATTAGCTGGTGGTGGTGGGGGTAATGGTGTTGCTCGACTGCCTCTCTTGCCTGAATAATCTGACAATATATCTCCAAGTGTAACATATTTCAACCTTGGTTGATACATGTCACTTATCATGTACAGTCTCTTTGTAACCACAACAAATTTATGTATCCAACATAAGTGTAATTATTCAACCATGTTTATTTTATGCAATTTGTCCCCATTGGCAAGTTTCTTTTTTCTTTTTATTTTTAAAACTGTTGTGTATTAAGAGATGTTAAGTGCTGTGCATGGGTGGGGCCTAACTTAGGTATCACTATACTACATACGTAATCATGCATAATCAGAATTTTTCGTCGTTTATAACTAGTCTGTCTGTAATGAGTAAAAAATCGTATATTTTACTAATACTTGAACTTTATCTAAACTTCAATGCCGTTTGATTTATTTTTCTAAAATTTGACATTAAACTATTCAAATCGTCCTGATCAACCCTTCCCATCCAATTTCAACGTTGTTACAAATGAAAGAGGCAACACTTGAGTTCGAATTGGGGGGAAATAAAGAAACTTTAATTGAAGTTTACATGCTGCTAGCCTGCTAAATTTAAAAAAAAAAAAAAAAGAATCGACATCAACTGCACTTCTCTCTTCTAATGACCAACATTATTTATACTTCTCTTTTGTGAGGATCGGTTCACAATCCCATGACCAATTGAATATACACGTAAGCTTCTTACATCTTAAAGATATATAAAGAGCATGTTTGGTTTGGGTATAGTACGGGATGACATTGAATAATTAATTATATTCTAATTCATAATGGTGATAATCATGGATTAACCATTTTATCGTATCTCTGTTACATTATATTTGGTTCAATGCTAATATATGATATGTATCCATTATTTTAATACCAATATCATGATTGGATACCGTATTTGTGTATGGTATTAAATTCAAAAAGACAAAAGCACCCTACATCAATGCATAACTCTCTAGCCTATAGGATACTCTTGTTATCTTAGACATAAATACCAATCATAACTCTTTTTTATTTTTGGTTAACGGGAACCTTTACAAGGTAGGGACACTTGAGACCCATCCTTGGAATAGTAATCCCTATATATCTAGTTCGGTAAAGTATTTTTAAAATAAACATGTATCCCCTTGTGTGTCTTTTTAAAAAAAAAAAAAAGAAATCTTGGATACCTGCATTCATCTACAAATCATAGATATCAGTTAAGCTAGGGAGATACAAACGAGGATCAAACTCTTGACGTCTAGGTTTACAATTTATCCAGGTCCAACAACCTCACATCGCTAGGCTCCGCATGTGTTCAATTATAACTTCTTTAATACCACCTATTATGATATTTACTTATAACAAGTATGAGGTGTTAAATGACATTTTAGAATTGAGTCAGTACTAAAATATCTTTAATACATAATTTTATTATTTGATCAAGACTTGATAGAATAATTTAATTTAATCCCATCTTCTAATACCTCAAGCCCCAAGGTATCTTTCTTCGGGGTACTAAAGGATGAGATTGGATTAAATTAGTTCAATCATCATTTAATCTGAGTTTGGATCAGGTTATAAGGTTCGGCATTATAGATATTTTTGTATTGATCTTGTTCTACAGTGTCATCTAAAACCCCATATTTGGTATATAACAATGGTATTAAATAAGCTATGATTGGCATTAATATACAAAATGACAAAAAGCATCCTTATAAGCTAAAGAATTATGCATTGATGTAGGGTATTTTTGTCTTTTTGAACTTAATGTCATACACTAATGCCTCATCCAAACATAATATTGATATTAAAACAATGGACCCACACCTTATACTATCCTTGAACCAAACATGATATAATAGAGATAAGGTAAAATAGTTTTTCCACATCACTATGAATTGAAATAAAATTGATTTGTTCAATTTCATCCCGTACTATACTCGAACCAAACATGCATATGTATTCATAGTCTTTTTTTTGGTTTGTTTTCTAAACTAGTATTGATCGTCTTGTCGAATGTTCTCACTCCCTAGTACTCGCCGTAGACATTAAAAAAATTAATAAATTAATGTCTATAATTAGGTTCAAACTAATTAAATAAATTAAATTGGATAGAACCTAAATTTTATAAGCCCAGATAATAAAGATCAAAAATTAATTAAATAAGCTTGAGTTGGACCTAAATTTCACAACTCAAATAATACAAGTCCAAATTTAATTAATTAGGCTTGTCAAATTAAATTGTGTTGAACCTAAATCCCAAATAACGTAAATCAATCAAAGTCCATAAATTTAAATAAATATTGGTGACCCACTATCTAAAACACATATAAGGGTATTTAGGTAAAATATTTTTATATGGATAATTACTCATAATACTATAAATAGGGGTATATGTAGAGGCCAAGAAGAGGAGCCAAGAAGGGAGGCAAGAAGGAGAAGCCAAGACGAAGGAGGCCAAAAAAAAAAAAATCAATGAGGAGGAAAGATCAAGAAAGCTCTGTCCAAATCCATCTTAAGAGGAAAAACGAAGATCAATAGCGAAGTTTTGCCGAAGTCTTTCTTTAACTAAAATCTTGCAAGTCCATCTCTGAGGAGAAGAAACATTACCAATGTCCTTCTTCAAGAAATTCAAATCATCTATAAGTCATTCAACAAAAAACATGGTGAAAAGATTCAACAAAACCAAATTAAAGATCGAAGAACGAAAACCACATCAATCCAACCCTTGTCTTTAACAAATTCACTAAATTAAATATCGAATAACAAGAATCACGTTAATTCGACTGATGAGCACTCAATATTGTATTATTTCATAGCCTTTCACATCCAATTTAGGCTTGCTAACTAACTAACTTTGTTTCATTTAATGCATTTTGTAGCTTAAGCCATGATTTTGGTGTTGCAAGTATTTTAGGTATAAACATAACGTTTTAGCACGGATATAAGGGCAAGGAATAAGGTGGTAGTGAGTTTGCTTGGGATTAGATGAAGTCAGGGGCCTTGAAAAGTTAATTGAAGAAAAGAGAAAAACTACCGATAGGAAAATAGAAGACAAGCTTCGATCGGTAGGTAGTCAGTTCTGTCGATAGCTGAGCTCACAGAAGTTTATAAGTTTTCATCAGAGAAATTCTACTGGTAGTTGTATTATGTTTTACCTATAGCTGAAGACCAAATACTTTTATCAGAAGAATCTTATCGGATTAACTATCAGTAGGTCAAGACAGATATTCCTAAGAAGCTTAATTAAATATCAGATTTTGCTAAATCTTTTAGGGATTCTCAATCAATAGAAGAGGGAGATAATTTTGGAATTGATATTTTTCAAAAAGCTGAAGATTTTCCTTCCAACCATTATAAATGGAGACACTTTAGGGAATCGAGGGAGGGCATTTTTAAGAGTTTACATTATATAATCTATATCTATACTACTTTAAAAAGCCAGCATATGTGAAAAGTATTTATTTTTCACTTTTACCCTCTAAAACTATAATTATGTTATCCTTATCCTTCAAAGTTAATGTCACACTAATTTTATCTTTCTTTTTTATCCTCAAACACTTATATAAAGACAATTATATCATATTTTTTAATTTAACTCTTAGACCATTCATATTATAGGAATAAATGAATAAATCTTTATTTATATATATTTTATATCTATATCTATATTATATCTATTTATTTATCTATACAATTTTGAAATGTTAACAAAAGTAAAAAAAATTTAATTAACTAAAAATATATTCATTATTCATATAAAAATATACTTAAAAATATATCAATTATCTATATCTATATTACTTTAAAAAATCAACATCTTTGAAAAACATTATTTTTTTCATTTTTATCCTCCAAAACAGCAAATATATCATTCTTATTCTTGAAAATTAGGGCTAGCCTAAACCTAAATCATCAATTCACCGTTCTTCTGCCTCTTACTGCCATTACTTCTCCAACTCTCTCTCTCTCCTCTTGATATACTATTATTATCCTTCTCCAAATTAATGCCTACCTANTATCGAATAACAAGAATCACGTTAATTCGACTGATGAGCACTCAATATTGTATTATTTCATAGCCTTTCACATCCAATTTAGGCTTGCTAACTAACTAACTTTGTTTCATTTAATGCATTTTGTAGCTTAAGCCATGATTTTGGTGTTGCAAGTATTTTAGGTATAAACATAACGTTTTAGCACGGATATAAGGGCAAGGAATAAGGTGGTAGTGAGTTTGCTTGGGATTAGATGAAGTCAGGGGCCTTGAAAAGTTAATTGAAGAAAAGAGAAAAACTACCGATAGGAAAATAGAAGACAAGCTTCGATCGGTAGGTAGTCAGTTCTGTCGATAGCTGAGCTCACAGAAGTTTATAAGTTTTCATCAGAGAAATTCTACTGGTAGTTGTATTATGTTTTACCTATAGCTGAAGACCAAATACTTTTATCAGAAGAATCTTATCGGATTAACTATCAGTAGGTCAAGACAGATATTCCTAAGAAGCTTAATTAAATATCAGATTTTGCTAAATCTTTTAGGGATTCTCAATCAATAGAAGAGGGAGATAATTTTGGAATTGATATTTTTCAAAAAGCTGAAGATTTTCCTTCCAACCATTATAAATGGAGACACTTTAGGGAATCGAGGGAGGGCATTTTTAAGAGTTTACATTATATAATCTATATCTATACTACTTTAAAAAGCCAGCATATGTGAAAAGTATTTATTTTTCACTTTTACCCTCTAAAACTATAATTATGTTATCCTTATCCTTCAAAGTTAATGTCNAAAAAAAAAAAAAACAAATATCAGGAACGTAATTTTATGGTCATAAGAAGGAAAAATAAGAATATTCACAAGTGCTACTGTATTTACTGCCAACAAGCTCTACCACAGTTGGATTCCAGAGTTACCCAACTGCAGCAGATATTACCGAGAGCTACAAAACTTGAACAAAGAAAAACATGCAAAGAAAAAGGATTAAATAAAAGCCCAACATCCCATCACATACAAAACTAAACAAAAAGCTATAAACATAAAACATAAAGAGGAAAAAAAACGGATTCCACATGCCACTACATACAGAGCTACACAAACAACTGTAAACAGAAATAGTAAAGAAAAACTTGGACTACCTGAATCTACATCAACTACGACAGTCCTTCCACGATTCTTTCTGGAATTGGTTTTAGCCTGACATGAAATGGAAGATTTGCCTACAATTAGCAATTATCATTTATAAGACTATACCTATAAGAATACCGAAATTATGTGCACTAAATAGACTCTTTTTTCCACGTGTCCATGCATATGTCAATTCATGTTTATGCATATGTCAGTTCGTGTTTATGTGTATGTAAAGCGCACAAAAGACATACTTCAGCAAATGCACTGGAAGAAGATATAATAACATCATCATCAAAAGCTTCGAGATCAATCGCCACAGATGGTACAGAGCTGCGTTGTAGGCCAGCTTGCACATTCTGAGACCCCCCATGAGCCGAAGTCCCCTCCTGGTCTGCGTTCTCACTCACTGGCACAGCATTGAGGTCCACATCTAGTGCGCTCTTACTGTGTCGCGGATTCCTCGTATGCCTTCTAGGAGTTGCCCTTACATCTCGAGTACTCATGCTATAATGGGAATCACAACCTCCAAACCCCTGATCATGCAAAGAAAGTGCTTTCCGAGAACCTAGTCACACCAAATTCATTGTTAGTTCAAAACATGTATGATTCCTCTTACCTCCCTGCTGCTCATGTGGTAATTATTCTGTTAAGGTTTTGCTATGTTCAGAGGCAAATCACAGAAAATTTACCAAGGAAACACGCTTCATCATTCACAGAAGAGATAACGGAAAGTAATTATCCCCATCCATATCACCAAACTTAAGCCCTAAGGATTCGATTAATTCCCTATGGTTTCAGTAGTTTTGATAACGAACCAAAAGAATGACTCAGATTTCGGTATTAGAAATGAACTTCCATTATTTTTCTTTCCTTTTAACCTGTAACTCATAACCTTACCCCCCATATTCAATCTTGCATTGAATTTGCAGATTTTGCTCCTAATCTAAGGAAACAATTATATGAAATTCAACATTTATTAGATTGTAGAACAGTGAAAACAAAAATATTTATACTCTCGTAAACAATCGTTAGATTANTCAACATTTATTAGATTGTAGAACAGTGAAAACAAAAATATTTATACTCTCGTAAGCAATCGTTAGATTAAACTTTAAGCTGAGCATGGATCTGAATTCAGATTTAAAAAAAAAAGAAGTTCAGAATGAAAGCTCGAAAGATCATAATTGGCTATGAAGCATTCAATCATCAGTGAAAAACTCGAATTTGAGCCCTCAGAATCCAAAAGGATTCTGGTTTTTTGGGGGGAAAAATGGAGTTCCAAGCCCTAGCCGTGAAAGCGATCGCAAGAATTCTTACCATCTCAATCAATTACAAAACGATTAATCAAAACGCACCGCTCTCATACAAAACTATTGCATACATGACTCCAAAGACCATATTGAACAATCAAGTAAATCCATAAGCCATATTTGAAACCTAGATAAATAACAAATCCCTAGATGATCAGAGAGAGAGAGAGAGATTCAACAAAAATTAGAGAGATTAAATCAAAAACCTTACCCGATTGCTAAAGTTTATTTGGTTCTGAAAGGTCCTGGAACAAATGGCAACGTAAAGAGAGAGAGGGAGACAGTACAATTTTGTTTTTGTGTGTTTTTTTTTTTTGGTTTTGGTTGGGGGGGGGGGGGCTTTATAGTCTTCGCTGCATTTTCTTGGTCTGGATGGGCTTCTCTCCCTGTCCAGGGCTCTTATATGCAGACGGACAAGCTTAGAGAGAGAAGGAATTGTTCTTTGGTGTTTTTTTGATAATCGGGTCGGTGATTGGGTTGAGGGCACAAAAGAGGACACGTGTCTCTAATCCGTGCAAAGGTGAACGTAGGAGTCACGGCGTCTGAATCGTTGATGCCGTTTTCAGTGACGTCACCAAAGCGCGTTGTTTGAGATTCAAAATTTTCCCCCAAATTTCCTTGTTATTTTCACGGTAACTTCCCAAGTCAACACAACTTGCTCGAGTGAGGGTTCAAACCTCAAATTCCACTTCCCCCCTCCCTCCATTGCATAGATGTCAGATTTTTTTTAAATATATTTTCTTCAAATCGTATTAATAATATTGATGATGAGACATTTTTGAAATACTCCAAGATGTAGACACGTGTCCTCGGTGTCACTGATCCTTGTTTATCGAGATCACATACCCATCGGGGTCACAGTCCCCTCTATCCTGAGCTACTTATCATGGGATCGAGTGACATCCAGTACGTTTTATGTACCGACACGTACCCTCGGTTTGATATGGTACATCGGTCGCTAGGCTCCCCCCTCTCAGATTCAAGATGTACCTCTTCCTCGGTACCGAGATGTACCCCCCTCTCATCCATGATGAAGTTCTCTGCTCCAGCAGAGGTTATTGATGCACTGGTCACTAGCCTAGGCTAGGCTAGGTTAGCTATCATGACCTCGTCTTACACAATTGGTGTCAGAAGGCACAGGAAGGCAGGGGCCACAGCCAATGAGGAATGGACGCGTGGCATATTGTGTCACATCAGAGACAGAAAGACCGCATGACCTTGCTGACACGCGACTTGGGAAAACAAGCATTTAATTACATCATTCCCTTGATGAGACTGCATTCAATGCGGTAAGGCTCAGAAGTGAAAGGCAATAAATGTCTCTAAGGCTGGACATTTATTTCATCCTCCCCGAGAAGAGCTCATTGAACCGTCGACAGGCCGATGACACAGACTTGATTGCTCGGGGTCCCGAGCAGTTAAGAGAGAAGACATTCCTCATAGGAATCAATGTGCACGTTGTCTGTATCTAATGATCACCTACTGACCACACTGACAACAATCATGAGTATTTGAGGTATAAATACTCCTCACTAAAGGCAAGAATGAGAGGTGAAACTTTTGCTACAAATTATACTCAGTGTTTTCTTCTTCCTCTCTCTCTCAAAAACTGACTTGATCGTCGGAGGGGATACGCCGAAAAATACTCCGGCACCCTTCTAACTTGTTCTTCTTTGTTCCAGGAACCTTTCTTCAGCCTTACTGGATCGTTCCTTTGATCTGCGAGGGTCTCCCATTACCATTACAGGTTACCACCGGATCTCACAAGCTGTTCCAAGCAGCGTGGTTGACCACTCAACTGACTCACTCGAGTTCACCAAGGGAGAGATCTATTCTCGTTTTTATATTGTGCAAGATCTAGCACGCACAATCTGGCGCCGTCTGAGGGAAACGACTAGTTTTCCTAGTTTTTTCTCTATAAAGAACAGTGACCATGGTGAACACTCGACAAAAAGGGAAAGGTCCCCACCAAAGAAGTCTCGAATTACAAGCTCCCTGTCACCACGGAGAAAGGGATCACACTGATGGAAATAAAAATGCCTCTACTCAGTCAAGAGGGGTTACCCCTCAAACCAGTATGGGAATCAGGTCAGGAGGATCAGCCCCCCTGGCTCGTCAGTTGGCGGAGGTGATCGAAGAAAAGTTTGGCGATAGATTACGACAGTTGGAAAAGGACAATGTAAACGTCCTAAGCCGGTTCAACGAATTTGCCGCCTCCGGTGAAGGGTCGAGGGACTCATTCCTCTCTTGTGGGCTCCCCGCCCGGGAGGCGAAAATGAAGGATCTAAGGAATCATCTAAACAACAAGGCATAAAGCTCCAGGGCCCCAAAGCGACCGAGAGCCAACGAGCACCCTCCTAACGACCATTCAAGGAAGGCAAGGCCATTAGCCCTGGAGGACCTCCGGCGAGGATTGTCTAGACGGAGGAAGGGAGATGAGTCCGAGGAGGATTCTACCCTATCCACACGGCGCCCAGGAAATGGGGGGCCTATTGATGAACTCAAAGACTTCAGAAGACATCCCGTCAGGGAGGAAATTGATCTCAGAGCCCGGTTGGAATCCAGGAGAAAGAGTAAGGCTGTCTAGGATGAGGTCGAAGACGAGGTCATACAAACACCCTTTACCAGGGAGATCGGAGAGATGGAGGTTTCAACAAATTTTGCCGTGCCGAGGTTCAAAACTTATGACGGGCGGTCCGATCCCGAAGCCCATCTCAGGCAATACAAGCAGATGATGTCCCTCTATCATTCGGACCAACGATTCCTCTGCCGAGTGTTTCCTATGAGCTTGGGGGACTCTGCGATGAAGTGGTTCGAGGCGCTTCCCCCCAACAGTATTGGATCGTGGAAGGAATTGACGAGGCAGTTCCTGGCTCGATTCATTACGGGGAGTAAGCGGCCCAAAGATGTTGGATCATTGCTAACGCTCAGACGTAGGGAATCTGAGACCCTTCGTCAGTATGTCATCCGATACTAGAAAGAGGTAAATGAGGTAGAAGGCTACTCGGAAGTCATGGCAGCGGCGTCTTTCAGGCTCGGCTTGGCGAGGGACACAGACCTGTACCAATCCCTGACCAAGAAGACTCCCTCGGATATGGGCGAGCTGATAGCCCGGATAAACAAATACTCAAGGATCGAGGACGAGATGGGAAGCAACAAAGGCCGAACCCTCCAATCTAAGAGAATGGAGAGGGAGCGGAAAGATACTCCCCGAAAGGGATTGCTACCCCCTTCAGGGAGTTCGTCCAAAGGGGTTCATACTATGTTCAAGGAACCCATCATCAAGTTGCTCCATAAAATCAAGCATGAGCCGTTCTTCAAGTGGCCGCCCAGGATGCAGAGCGATCCCTCCACCCGTGATCAAAAGGTTAGGTGTTCCTATCACCGGGATTTCGGACATCGCACCGAAAGCTGCAGGGTATACAAATCGTTCTTGGAAAAATTGGTCCGAGACGGATACTTGAAAGAATACATAGAGCCCAGGCCAGAAGAGAGACACACCCTTGCCCCGACCGAGGAGCCGGACAACGTCATAGATGTCATCCATGTATGTCCCCTGGATCGCCCCACGTCCAAGGAGCTCGAGTCCGACCTCAAGAGGGTAGGTTTTACAAGGAAGGTAGCTGAGGATGATGGAGGGCCACCCAGTAAAAGGGCCAGGGCTGGTGAACCCAGCATCACGTTCTCCGACACGGACTTGACAGACGTAGTGACTCCTCATAACGACGCTCTTGTCTTGACTCTGAAGATAGGAAAATTCAACGTCAAAAGGGTGTTGATAGACTCTGGAAGTTCCTCGGAAGTGATGTACTCTGAGACTTTAAAACGGATAGGTCTTGGCCTCAAGGACCTCACCAAGGTCAGGACACCCCTCATCGGATTCAACGGCTCGTTCGCCCTGCCCTTAGGCAAATCACATTGTCAGTTGTCACGGGTCCCTTCGTCATCAACACCGAGTTTGTCGTAATTGATACGGACTCTCCGTACAACGTGATCATGGGGCGAACATGGCTGCATGCGTTGAGAGCGGTGCAGTCCACTTACCACCAGAAACTAAAATTTGTCACGCCAGAAGGTATCATGGAAATCCGGGGGGACCAAACGTCCGCAAAAAATTATTTTTATTCAGTTGTTAGAGCTGGGGCGTTCACCCAAGAAAAGGGGCGAGCCCCGGAAGAGATCATGGAGAAATAGCAATCACAGTCCGGGCGTCCAGGAATGGATGACCTCCGGATAGACCCAACTGAGCAGTCGGTGGAGGACCTCCGGAAGGTGCCCTTGGTGGAGGGAGAGGAAGAAAGACATTTCTTAGTTGGAACCG